AAGTTAGCTGAAGAGACTGTGGGAACGGCAGCGCTGAAGTTTGTAGGGCAGGCTGGCAGCCTGGAAACTCAGGAGAGAGCTGGCCTAACAGTCGTGAGCCCAACCTCTGCATCACACTGAAAACTCAAGTAGGGCATCTGTGTCGCAGCCCTCAGGAAACGTCCGGAAACCTGAGTGTGTGCTCACAAGACCTCCTTCTGAATGATGTCTGCTGGTTTAAATGATAGGAGAACAATATCTACACTGATGTTTTACCCAAAACTGGGTACTGTGGCCTAACCACATCACACATTTTTCTTTATGGACACACAGGGCCAGTTCAGTGGAGAGAACGGAATGGGGCATGAGTGAACAGCTTTTCTTTCATTCTGTACAGTGTTTGTTTTTCAGATAAAATGCATCACTCTTTTTTTTTTTTATGTTGCCATACATTTTGACACATTCTGTTTTTAATTGAAAATAATTTTTTTTTATATATGGCCAGGTGGTGGTGGTGTATACCTTTAATCCTAGCACTTGGGAGGTAGAGGCAGGTGGATCTTTGAGTTTGAGACCAGCCTGGTCTACAAAGTGAGTTCCAGGACAGCCAGGGCAGTTACAGAGAAACCCTGTCTCAGGGGGGGAAAAAAAGAATAAAAAAGAAGAGGAGAAGAGAAGAAATAATTTCCCGTACAGTACATTCTGATCACAGTTTTCCCTCCCCCAGCTCCTCCTAGAATCTCTTCACTTCTCCACCCACCCAACTCTCAGGCTTTCTTTCTCTCTCTCTAAACAAACCAGAGTAAAAACAAAACAACAAAGAAAAAGCACAGTAACACACACACAAAGAAAACCCATAAAAACCATAAACTCAAAAACCCATAATATACAAGCAAAACACCAACGAAAAATGCCCGAAGCAAAGTGATATATATATAAATAAAATAATATGAGATGAAAGTACCATTGAGTTCCTTTCGTGTTGGGCATCTCCAGCTTGGTTTGTATACCCAGTGAGGCTCCATTGGAGAAAACTAACTTTTCCTCTGCGAGGAGGTGACAGTGGCGGGTAGCTTCTGAGTTCTCAGCACTGGGACCCTGTCTTGCTTCAACCTGGGCCACACGTTCTGTGAGCTCATCAGTCCTGATGTGTTTTGACACATTCTTTGCTTATATTATTGTTAGAGGGAGCCTAACACCAGCTGGAAAGCCCTTGATGAGAAAAGGAGGATTAAAAACAAAACAGGCAATATTTCAGGGTCAGGAGGGCTGCCGGGCAGGGGAGGAAGGTCTGGGGATTGGAATTCACACAACTCATCCATGCACGGTAGGAACAAGCAAGGAGAGCCAGGCGCCTCCGAGCTGGAGCAGAGGGCTGTAAGTGAGCAGGGCTGGGCTGTGGGCACTGTGGATGAACGAGGGAATCCGCTCTGTGAGCACAAAGGAATCAGTAAAGGGTCAGAAAAAATACGGTATTGTTGTTTTGTGTTTTTAAGCATAATAATCTCATGGCTCCGAAGTTGCTGCAAGACTAATATTAACGTGACACATCCGTCACGGTCGGCGATACAGCTCTCGTGAGAAAGGTGACAGTGCACACAAGGTCCATGCACTTCGTTCTCTGTCTACGTGAGGAGAGGACAGAGGACTGAGTGGTTCAGTGGGACTGTCACTGTGTGCTGTGACCTGTCCAGGCCCGGCACGCTGCTGACTGTTCCGGCTTCTGTAAGCCACAGCTCGCCATGGGCCTGTCACTGCCCTGATGCAGGTCCCTTGGAGGTCGCCGTCTTCCTAACCTCGTCTTAAGGCAGTTAGAGTGACCACATGCCTTCACAGTTCCAGCCTCCAGCCTGCTCCGTGTGTGGATTGCTTGGGATCCACCTGCTCTTCTCTCTTCTCTGGCTCCCGTACTTACTCATTTCTGCTTAATTTCCAACGTTCTCACTGGCCATAGTGAAATTCCTTCCTTTACTACCCTGTCAGCCACAGCTCGGCCAGCCTTCCACTCAGTTTTCCTTTTTCTGTTATCTAAATATTTCTCCGTTCCATCGTTCCCCTCCATCGCTAATCTCGGGGATATAGTTCAAGCTTTCAGTATTTATTGCCCAACGGGTCTATTCGTTACCCTTCTGTAATTATCTTACTACCTGGTAACGAGCAGGTGGTAGTGAGCAGCACACAAATGCATTCTCTTCTTCCCTGGCTTTAGAATCATTCCAAATAACCTTAAAAATGACTACTACCACTGCTACTACTATTCATGCATGAGTGCTCCTGCCATGGTGCGCATGTGGAGGTCAGAGAACAGCTTTCGGGGCGTTGGTCCCCCTTCCCATAGGTTCTGAGAATCAAACTCAGGTCATCCAGCTTGCACAGCAACTGCTTTTACCTGCTAAGCCATCTTGCAGGCCCCAAAGTAACCTTAAAAAATAAGAAAATAGTGCGGGGGTGGGGGTGGGGGGGGGAGAAAAAGAGGCATTTTTAGCTCTGGTTGGAAAGTGTTCCTCCTTGAATCCCAGTGGACATGGGTCCCACCTGCTAAAGCCACGCTGCAAGAACCGGGGTTCTAATGTGCATGAGAAGCAGCTACGGTCTAGACAATGAGACACTGTGGTGTGAGACATATTATTCATTTTTGGTTTTGTTTCAACTCAGGTTCTAACTTCTAGAACTCTATGGCTTTCAAAATGGCCCCCACTTCTTCCACTTCACCGTGGAGGGTTGTAATGTCCCATCAGGTGTATGCCAAAGTGTAGAGGAATGGGAGGGGACATTTGTGGCTTCGGGTTGTGCCTGACTCCTGGGCTCCACTCCCCGTGACCTCCTCCGTAGAACCTTTAGACTGCTTCTGGGTTATGATCTGATCCCTGTAGCCTTTGAAAATTTGACTCTGTTCCACTCAGTAGCCCTTC